GCAAAACTGTATGAACATTTAAATAAAAATGAACAGGATAATATTAATTTTTAAAGTAACATTATTATATTTGATCTTCATTCATGGCTAAATTACTTAGCAAACTAAGACTAAAGAGGAACAGGTTTGAGCCCTGCATCAGGCTCTGTCCTGACAGCTTGGAGTCTGGAGACTGCTTTGAATTCTGTGTCTCCCTCTCTCTCTGCCTGTCCCCACTCGCTCTCTGTCTCTCTCAAAAATAAATAAACATTAAAAAAATAAAAGGGAACTACATTAACTTTATTTTATTCTTTTAATCTTTATTTTTGAGAGAGAGAGAGAGCTCAAGCAGGGGAGGAACAGAGTGAGAGAGAGAGAGACATGGAATCTAAAACAGGCTCCAGGCTCCGAGCTGTCAGCACAGAGCCTGATGCGGGGCTTGAACCCATGAACCGCGAATTCATGACCTGACCTGAAATCGGACACTTAACCAACTGAGCTACCCAGACACCTATACATTTAACTTTATTTATTTATTTTTTATTAAAAAAAAATTTTTTTTTAACGTTTATTTATTTTTGGGACAGAGAGAGACAGAGCATGAACTGGGGAGGGGCAGAGAGAGAGGGAGACACAGAATCAGAAGCAGGCTCCAGGCTCTGAGCCATCAGCCCAGAGCCTGACGCGGGGCTCGAACTCACGGACCGCGAGATCGTGACCTGAGCTGAAGTCGGCCGCTTAACCGACTGAGCCACCCAGGCGCCCCCATTTAACTTTATTTTATAGGAAACAGTCTAAATGGTAAAAATTGTGAAGCTCTGATAAAGAATCCAGGGTTGCTTCATATTGTCGTTTCACTTCTGAGTGTGCTACTCCTGTGTGTTAAATTAAAACAGTAAATATGGTACAACTATATATATATTTATAAATTAAAAAATTTTTTTCAGTGTTTATTTTTGAGAGAGAGAGTGTGAGCAGGGTTGGGGCAGAGGGAGAGGGAGACACAGACTCTGAAGCAGGCTTAACTCATTTGTTCATAATGAGCCACCCAGGGGCCTCAAGACAATAAATGTGGTAGAAATATATTAAAAGGAAGATATAAAATTGGTTATTTGTAGAGGATATGGTTATCTACGTAGAAAGTATGTAACTTACACCTTTTTAGTGAGCTTATCTTGGTTACTGGATATGTAATCAAGACAGAAATCAAATATCAGAAATAATCGGCTAGAAAACTTAATTGAAAATAATCCTGTTTGGGGCGACTGGGTGACTTAGTTGGTTAAGCAACTGACTGGTTCAGGTCATGATCTCGCAGTTCATGAGTTCAAGCCCCACGTCAGGCTCTGTGCTAACAGCTCAGAAAATAATCCTGTTCATAATATAACAAAAACTTAAGGATTTTGAGTAAATCTAATAAAAAGTGTTGGAGACCTTTGTAAACACTAGAGTTGAGTGAAGAAACATCCTGTATCTCATTGATTCTCAGATGTATATTATGCTATTTTGATATGGGATATGTCTTGGGTGCCTGGGTGGCCCAGTCAGGTTAAGTGTCCAACTTTGGCTCAAGTCATGATCTTGCGGTTCGTGGGTTCAAGCCTGGCATGGGGCTTTGTGCTGACAGCTCAGAGCCTGGAGCCTGCTTCAGATTCTGTGTGTCTCTCTTTCTCTCTGCCTCTCCCCCACTTGCGCGTTTGCGCTCTCTTCATCTCTCTCTCTCTCTCTCTCAAAAATAAACATTAAAAAAAATTAAATTTGAAATGGGATGTGTCTTAACAGTTAATACAGCCATAATTTAGTGAAGTTTTTTTCATACTAGCACATAAAATAGTTAATGTTTAATAATTTATAGCCTACTACATTTTATGGAATATGGTGTATTTATGTAGGGGAAAATTCAATGTTATAAAGGTGCTATTGATACCGTTCTACAAGTGCAATTCAGCCTTTATTTCAACATAAATTTTCTAAGAATTTGGTAAAATTCCAATATTAATGTGAAAGAGCAAGGGGCCCCATATAGCCAGCATAGTCTTAGATTAAAAAAATAAGTTAAAATTCCTGTCATATATCAAGACATAATGTGAAAATATAGTAATTATGACACAAGTTTCAGCACAAGGACAGTTCGAGAAGATAACAGAATAAAAAGCCCAGAAACAGAACCCCAGGTATGTGTGGAGACTTGATACATTACATGACAGAAATGGAGAAGGATGGGCCTTTCAACAAATATTGGCATTTGTACATGTGGGAAATAAAATTTGATCTTCATTTTATACACAAGACTTAGTTTCAGGTCGACTAAAGACCTAAACATCAGTAGCAAAATTTGATTATTTTTAGAGGAGTTTAGAGGAGAATACCTTTGATGTGGGATAGAGAAAGATTTCTTAAGGTACAGTAGGTACAAAATAGAAAGATTTGAATGCATTAAAATTCAAACTTTAAAAAAGAAATTCAACAACTTGGATGACAGGCCATAGACTTGGAAAAGATACTTGTTACTCCTAACCTGAACAGGAATTGCTATCCAGAATTTATAAAGAAATACAGTTTAAATCTAAATAACTAAAGCAATCTCAAAAAGTAGGCAAGGCAGATGAACAGATAGTTTACAGAAGTGTACAGAGACCAGTAAATGTGAAGTTTCATTGCTAGTCTGGTAAATATAAACTAAAACCACAACAAAATGCCATTTTACACCCATTAGTTGGCAGAAATTAATAGGTAAAAATGTAAATGTTGACAATATACAGCAGAGGGAACTTGTGTAGTACTGATGTAAACTATGTTGGAGAGGAGTTTGCTAATATCTGCTAAAGTTGTCGTATGTTTCAACCAGTAATTCAGATCCTAGAGAAACTTGCATATGTGTACAAGGAACTGCACAAGGGTCTTCTCTCCAGAGTTTTAATAATGAAGAATGGGAATCAACCTGAATGTTCATTGACAGAGAAAAATAACATATTATATTCATGCAATGATATTCTTTAAAACTGCTGAAATGAGTAGATCTGTAGATACCAATAAACAAATCTCAGAAGCAATGTTAAGTGAAAAATGTAGGCTACATGGTGATGTAGCTTGGTCGTATTTATGTAAAGTCTAAAAACATTCAGAACATTGCTGAACACGTAATACATGTGGAAACACATGGTAGTGATATAAACTTGAGTGAGTTACCTTTGGAGGAAATGGGGTCAAGGAAGGACACTCATCATAGGCATTCAATATTTATTTATTTATAATTTTTTTGAGTTTATTTTGAGAGCAAGAACATGTGAGTGAGAATGGGGGAGGTGCAGAGAGCAAGGGAGAGAGAAAATCCGTAGTAGGCTCCTTGCTGCTAGCGCAGAGCCCCGTGTGGGGCTCCATCCCCTGAACCATGAGATTATGACCTGAGCCAAAAGCAAGTGTCAGATGCTCAACTGACTGAGCCATCCAGGCGCCCCACATTCAATAAATATTTTATAAAAGCTGTAGGTTTTGATATTTGTCGTATGATACCAGTCATATCGTATCATATTATTCTTCACGAGTTATAAGCAACTGTCATTTAAAAAATATAAACCTGGGGCGCCTGGGTGGCGCAGTCGGTTAAGTGTCCGACTTCAGCCAGGTCACGATCTCGCGGTCCGTGAGTTCGAGCCCTGCGTCGGGCTCTGGGCTGATGGCTCGGAGCCTGGAGCCTGTTTCCGATTCTGTGTCTCCCTCTCTCTCTGCCTCTCCCCCGTTCATGCTCTGTCTCTCTCTGTCCCAAAAATAAATAAAAACGTTGGAAAAAAAAATTAAAAAATATAAACCTAACTGTAGTGAGTATTATGAATATCATCTGTATGGCATTTGATAGTGTATTACTTTGCTAGGGCATCCCTAACAAAATAACACAGGCTAGGAGGCTTAAACAATAGAAATTTATTTTCTTATAGTTCTGGTGACTGGGAGTTTTAAGATCAAAGTGTCAGAAGTTTTGTTTTCCCCTGAGGTGTCTCTTGTAGACACTGCTTTCTCTTTGTATCCTCTAAAGACCTTATTTCCAAATATAGTTAACATTCTGAGTTACTTACTAGGGGTTATGACCAACAGGAATTTGGTGGAGGCACTGTTTAGCCTGTAACAGTTTATAAAGCTGTCTCACATATGGCTTCATACTTGTTACAACAGTCCTAGTGAAGTAAGCAGTGGTAGATAATGATTCCAGTTTTACAGATAAACACTCTGAAAGTCATATGATTAGTGTGTGGCAGAATTAGGACTTCAAATTGATGGTCTGGAGTAGAAAGTCTTTTAACTATTATGCTTATTTTACTGGAGTTGAATTTCTCAGTTTTTAACCTTTGGCACTACATAATGTAGTGTTTTCCAAATTGATAGAAGTTGAGACTTCTCTGGGTCTGTTACATCCTAACATTTCTCTCTCTCGGAATGCAGTTTGAGAAATCCTTGTTTGATGGCTATTGACCTATAGAGTTTTGTTCATTAGTATATATAATAACTTCTCTATGCCAGTTGTGTTTGCTTATAGTTGGATTTATGCTAACGTGCAAGGTGAGAAAAATGCATTAAAATCAAATACATTTCTTGGGGCACCTGGATGGCTCAGTCGGTTAAGTGTCTGACTTCGGCTCAGGTCATGATCTTGTGGTCTATGAGTTCAAGCCCTGCGCCGGGCTCTGTGCTGACAGCTCAGAGCCTGAAGCCTGCTTCGGATTCTGTGTTGCCCCCTCTCTCTGCCCCTCCCATGCTCATGTTCTGTCTGTCTCTGTCTCTCAATAATAAATAAATGCTAAAAAAAAACAAATACATTTCCTCAGTGACTTTACTGTTAGAATGGAAATAACTTAGATCCTTTGTAGATTCTTAACTCTCAAAACCACTTTGAAAGAGTCATTCTATTTTTATCTCATTTTTTTTCTAGAATATGACCAAAATAATTCCTATTTTTATTCTTTATTGAGGATTTTGTGATGCCAGTGAATATTACTTTTGTTTATTTGATTGTTTTCCTCACACAGCTGCGGTCTTGTAGTAAGAGTGAGTTGATATCTAAGAGCTCAGAGATCCTCATGATGTTTCAGCAAGTTCATCGGAAGCCCATGGCGTCCTTTGTTACCACTCCTGTTCCACCAGACTTTACCAGGTGCGACATAGTTTTTTAACTTGATTTTCATTTAACGTTTATGTGCATATGCACATGCTTGTTTCAAAAGAATGTTAGTTTTCTTAATTAACTCTATGTTTTTTAAGGTGTTATTTATAATGATGTGGTTTAGTAAACTTTATATACATGTAAATCTGGTTAAAAATTCTGGTGGAGTTACACTTTTGATTGTAAAGAGATGATCTTGAATTAGGAGTTAGTTTCTTCCTGGAGTATCACCTTCTGTAGAAAAAGTAACTGATCCCAATTTAATCACTATCTATTCATTTTTTTAAATTGGTATATAATTGACATGTAACATATTAGTTCCAAGTGTACAACATAATGATTTGACCTTTTCAAGTATTGGAGAACGATCACAGTAAGTCTAGTTAACATCTGTCACCATAAACAGTTAAAAAACTTTTCTTATAATGAGAACTTTTAAGATCTGTTTTCTTAGCAACTTTAAAATTTGCAGTACAGTTTTGACTATAGTCACCATGCTGTCTAGTATATCTCCATGACTTACTTTATAACTAGAAGTGTATACCATCTGACCCTTTTTTTTTTTTTTTTTTAGTATGTGTCTTTCTCTGACTTATGTAGCATAATGCCCTCAAGGTCCATCCATGATGCAGTATGGTCATTCTTTTATTTACCTTTTGAATTTAATTTATATCTCATTGTTTACATATATGTTGCCAGAAACAAAACTCAGAATATGGATGAAATGCCAGAAGATTCTGAAGGTGACATGATGTTACCTCCAGATCCTAAAAGGTGGTGGGAGGAAACAGCTGGTTGTGTTCTATGCATCTTTTAGTTTTTGTCTTGGGCAGTCTTAGAATCCTTTTGAACCAGCATATTCTTTCAAGCATGTTTGCACTGTGGTATTAGACCAGTGGTGCTTGACATTAGTTGTATGTTAGACTCAGTTGGGATTCTATTGAAAATTACCAATGCTGGTTCATACCTCAGGTCATTTGAAATAAAATCTCTGCAGATAGATTAGTCTGCTTGAACAGCCATAACAAAATAACACAGATTGGGTGGTTTCTACTACAGAAGTTTATTCTCTTATAGTTCTGGATGCAAGAAGTATGAGATCAAGGTGCTAGGAAATCTGATTTCTGATGAGGCTTCTTGCTTGCTTACAGCCTTCTCCCTGTGTCCTCACAAGACCTTTTCTCTCAAGCACAGAGATCAGTGTCTGGTATCTTTTTCTCTTCTAAGGACACGAGCTTTATTGAGTTAGGGTCCTTCCCACCCTTATGACCTCAGGTAATCTTAATTACCTCCTTTTAGTTTTTATCTTGGGTAGTCTTAGAATTCTTTTGAACAGCATATTCTTTCAAGCATTTTTGCCCTGTAGTGTTAGAGCAATGGTTTCTTGCATTAGCTGTATATTAGATTCATTTGGGATTCTTTTGGAAAGGTCCTGTCTCCAAATACATTGGGGATTAGAGCCTCCACATACAAATTTTGGGGGACACAGATGGTCCATAACATTGGGTGCAAATAGGCATTTGTATTTTGTTCATTTAAAATCTCCTTAGTTGGTTCCTAAGAAGAGAGGTTAAACCACTGCCTCAGATAAAAATGTTGGTATGGCAGATTTTAGTCCATCTTAGACTTTAAAGATGGCTTTGAAATACTGCCACATGTTTAGTATGTTGAAGGCTGTGTTACCTAAAGGAAATAGCCTTTGTTTTAAAAATGTATAATTGTCTTTTCTTTTTTCTCTGATATGTGGTGCCCTCTGATGGCCACAGGGCATTGATGGTACTCAACTGAATAGTGCAAGCCAGGGTTTTTCAACCTTGACATTGTTGATCAGGATAATTTTCTGTGGGGTTGAGGGAGCTTTGTTGTTTATTGTGGGATGTTTAGCAGTGTCCCAGTAGCACATTTTCCTTTATAGTTGTGATGAAAATATTTCCAGACATTGCCAAATGCTTCCTAGGAGTAAAACTGCCCCTGGTTTAGAATTTCTGGTGTAAGCCCTTGTTCCTCATCACAGATGCATTCCTGAGGATTATCACCACCCATAGTCCTATAAACAGAAGGGTAAAAAGTTCTTTTGACAGCCAGAACTCAGGTAGATCTCACTGACTATTAAGTCTTCATTTCTCTCTGAATTAACAAGCCAGATATAATATTCCTATTTTAATCAAGAACTGAATATTACTAAAAGTACTTGGTATTTGCTATCCTTAAGTAGATTAGGTGAACTAAGGATGTTCACCAATATCGAAAGGCTGCCTCTTTGATAACATGGTCAGTCATTTCAGTTTTGAAGAATACCTTTTTGGAAGCATCCATCACCACGGAATGAAACGTAAGTTTTGATGTAAATACCATATATAAAGGTAAATGTTTTCAATTCAAAGTATAGTGCATGGATCACATATCAAAGCCAGCTCTGGAGTGTTTGTCCATAATGCAAATTCCCAAGCCTATTGCCTGGCAATATTTGGAGGTGATGTCTAGATAATGAATCTTGGGCATCCTGAGTAATTCTGTCCTTAATTTTGGGAACCACAAATATAGGTAAACTCCTATGCTGATACTACTTGCAGTGTCTCATTAGGCAGGCACCTCTGCTTTAGATTTCTTGTCAATCTCTCTTACATCCAGTGATTGTTTTGCTTTCTGTTCCCTAACTGCCTAAGTGGCTCAGAACCCCAACAGTCCCTCTTCATTATCTTGGTTTTTTTGGTGTAGATAGAAGGGACTGAAATTGGGAGGGCAGGGAGCAAGGGAGGCAGGTAGGAGGGACATCAAAGAGGAAACGACCAAAAAAAATTTTTTTAAGTATGACAAATTAAGGAGCTTTCCATAGATAAAGTTCACCTTAGGACCCTTTCTCTCCCAAATAATGCTTATTTACTGCCTTACTGGACATTTTGGCTTGTAGCTTTGTTGACGTTAAGTTACAGATCAAATTTAGATGTACAAAGGCAGTGGTGAATGTTTCTAAGCTTTGAGATCTTAGGACTGGATTGCCTTAAGTTCCATCAGTTGATTTGTGATGGAGCCACAATGGAGAATAAAAAGTCATTGAACAAGTGCGGTGTTACTTATTAAAGACTATATGTTCAGCACTATTGTGCTACACAGGAGAGAAGAAGAAAAACTAATAATCTTACTGGGTGTATATTCCATATTAAATAGTATAGAATTATATATTAAAATCTAGTATTTCGTAATCAATTACAATTGATCTTTGAACAGTGTGGGTCAGCTGTATAATGCATCCTGTTTAATGCTGCCACATAGCACTAATTTGTTAACAATGTTATTTTTCAAAAAGTTTCCCTAAAAATTATACATGTATAGGAGTACATCACAATACCCTGGGATTGATAGAGGTTTTCTGTGCTCTGAATGTGATCATTTTCTCTTGCAAGTGACAGCTTGGGCACATCATACTATACTCTCTTGGTCAGTGAGCTTTAGTGATCTATTTTAGCTCTTTAGCTCCTAAGCTTTCCACTCCACTGTTCTGAGTTAAACGTATTATCTCCTTCTCTTATTTATTTTGTGTTTTGGTATTTATGTATGTATGTATGTACGTATGTATGTATGTATGTTTGGTTATTTATTTATTTAACCTCCAAGTTAGTTAGCATATAGTGCAATAATGATTTCAAGAGTAGATTCCAATGATTCATCCCCTACGTATAACACCCAGTGCTCATTCCAAAAAGTGTCTTCCTTAATGCCCCTTACCCATTTAGCTCATCCCCGCCCCCACCTACAACCCTCCAGCAACCTTCAGTTTGTTCTCTGTATTTGAGTGTCTTATGTTTTGTCCCCCTTCTTGTTTTTATATGATTTTTGCTTCCCTTCCCTATGTTCATCTGTTTTGTATCTTAAATTCCACATATGGGTGAAGTCATACAATACTTGTCTTTGACTAATTTCGCTTAGCATAATACCCTCTAGTTCCTCCATGTTGTTGCAAATAGCAAGATTTCATTCTTTTTGATTGCTGCGTAATTAATACTCCATTGTGTATATATACCATATATACCGTATCTTCTTTATCCCTTCCTCTGTTGATGGACATTTGGGCTCTTTCCATACTTTGGCTATTGTTGATAGTGCTGCTATAAACATTGGGGTGCATGTGCCCCACTGAAACAGCACACCTATATCCCTTGGATAAATAGTGGTGCAATTGCTGGGTCATAGGGTAGTTCCATTTTTAACTTTTTGAAGAACCTCCAGACTGTTTTCCAGAGGGCTGCACCAGTTTGCATTCCCACTCACAGTGCAAAAGAGATCCTCTTTCTCCACATCCTCGCCAACCTCTGTTGTTGCCTGAGTTGTTAATTTTAGCCATTCTGACAGGTGTGAGGTGGTATCTCTGTGGTTTTAATTTGTGTTTCCCTGATGATGAGTGATGTTGAGCATCTTTTCATGTGTCTATTAGCCATCTGGATGTCTTCTTTGGAAAAGTGTTCATGTCTTTTGTCTATTTCTTCACTGAATTATTCGTATTTTGGGTGTTGAGTTTGATAAGTTCTTTATTGATTTTGGATACTAACCCGCTATCCGAAATGTCATTTGCAAATATCTTCTCCCATTCTAGCAGTGGCCTTTTAGTTTTGTGGTGAACTCTTTTGACCCTTAATGGCTAACAAAAATATGACAAAATAATAGTTTGGTCTTCCAGCCAAAACAACAAAGGAAATGTATAGCACTGGATGTTAAGGATATGGTGGAAAAAGCGTTATGAAAGATGTTATGAATTTGGTGGGAGAACGAACCAACGCTGGTATGATTGGAACTTGCATGAAATTATAAACAAAAGCATGTCATGACTTGACCAAATTTGGAAACTGTCCTGGAGACATTTCCTTGAAGCTCTGATTAGGTTTGTGGTTCCAGGTAGGCTTTCTAGGTACTGCTTACATTCATTCTACTAATTGGGGTTTGGTATACTGAATGTGCGGAAACATAATGGAGAGAAGTTAGAGCAGACGTTCAATGGACCGTGACTTCTAATCTGTTACTTGAAAGAATAGTAAAGATTAACGAGGCAAACATCTGGGAGTGAGGAATATGAGTGTTTTAAGAAAAGGTAACAGCTGCCTTGGAATATGGTTAGGGGTGTTTGACGGTAGGATAGTAGTTATATAGTTAACTATTGCAGGGCAAACCCCATACTTATGTGAAAAAGATATGAGCTATTTAGCTATACATACTTACCATAAAATAAAAAATAATATATTTTTAAATCTATGCTGTGTTTTCACTGGCAAACCACTAATTTCTTTAGGCACTATCACAGTGTGAAAGTGCTGTAGATGTTATCATATATTTTATTTTGGTAATAATGAATTTTCATGAATTAAACTTTAGAAGATATATCTGAGGATACAGTGAAATGGCTTGCAGTTTATCTTTTCGGTAAATTTATAATTTTATTAATTTTATTTATTAAAAACATTTTTTTAAATGTTTATTTAGTTTTGAGACAGAGAGAGACAGAGCATGAGTGGGGGAGGGACAGAGAGAGAGGGAGACACATAATCAGAAGCAGGCTCCAGGCTCTGAGCTGTCAGCACAGAGTCCGACGTGGGGCTCAAAGTCACAAACCGTGAGATCATGACCTGAGCCGAAGTCGGTTGCTCACCCTGAGCCACCCAGGCGCCTCTATAATTTTATTTATTAAATACAGAATATTTTATGTTATAATACTGTATATGATAGTGTCTTTATCATAAATGTTTTATTGACTGACTTTTGAAGTGTTTGAATGACAGTACTGTAGACTGTTCACATATCTAAGGGTATATCCTGTGGTTGTGTTATAGTTCAGTTCTCTTTAGAGAAGAATGTATGGAACTAAAGTTAAGTTGCCTGAGGTAATCTTGCCTTGCCAAGAAATTGTTGCTTATCCACTCTATTTGCCCCTAGGTGATTATGTATTCTTATTCCATAAAATGGTATTTCCAAGTTAATATTCTTAAAATATTTAAGGTCATCAATATTCCTCATAATTTGTTTTAGAGACTGAAGTTGGAGATTTATTGTGATGTCTTTTGCTGTTTCTTTTGTTTTTTTCTAAACTTCCTTATATCTGTTTCATATTTTAGGTTCCCGACTTAAGCACCCTTCCTTTTCCTATTTCCATGAGTAGTTTTGAGAGTCTCTTATGCTTATTTTAATGCTTACTTGTTGCTTCTCAAAAAGCCCAACTATTTTATAAACTATTTGTTGAGTCTCCAATTTAATTGAAAACTTTTGATGTTAGCTTTTGATGGTTTTACAAATTCATTTGGTTTAATATCCGTATTTAGTAAGGATTGAAAAATATTTCTTAGGGACTTAGTTTAAAAACATTTTAAAGATATTACTGAGGGACTTTGTTTTTTAATTAAATGAAATTTTAAACTTAAATAATTATTTTACCTTTTGCTTCTTTTTAGTGAATTAGTACCATCTTATGATTCAGCTACTTTTGTTTTAGAGAATTTCAGGTAAGAGTTTTTGACTACTGAGATTTGTTTTGTATGTCTACCTAAGTAAGCCAGGAAATATCATTCTTGGGTAGAATACAGAACAAGGATCTGTGTCACTCAGTGTGTAATCTTAGAAGAAGCAAGTTTCATATTAGATACATATAGGTCATTTGTCTGGATTGTATTTTATCTTCAGGACAGATTGCTTCTCTATCTAGTCTCGGAAAAGAAACCATTTTTTTTAAAGAAGAGTGTCCACTTAGCCTTTGCTAAGGTGGGGCGAATGGGATTATTAAGGTCAATGACCATCCCCCCATCCTCGGAAGTCGATTTGAGTCCATTTATCTTAGCTGGAAGTGAGAAATTGTGAATGAGAGGCCATTGTCATAAGAAATTTTATGCTTTGTAACTTGTATGTTACTTTGTTAGCTTTTACTACTTTTTCTTGAAGATTGGAAACAAAGATCTTAAAACGCTGAGGTCTTAAAGGGACTTGTTTTCAAAGACAGTTTGGAAATGGGGAACCATGAAATAAAAGGCCTTGCCTTGGGGAGAGAAATTCTAGGAGGTGATAACCATCACCAAAGGCCAAAGTTTGAGGATTAATACCTCTTTCTTTCCTTTCTTTCTCTCTCTCTCTCTCTTTCTTTCTCTTTCTCTCTTTATCTCTCTTTCTTTTGAGAGATATAGAGAGAGAGCACGTGAGCACCTAAGCAGGGGAGAAGCAGAGAGAGAGAATCTTAAGCAGGCTCCATGCTCGGTGTAGAGCCTGACGCAGGGCTTGATTTCACGTCCTTGAGATCCTGGCCCGAGTCAAATTCAAGAATTGGATGCCTAACCAACTGGGCCACGCAGTGGCACAGTGGGGGCTGGAGCGCCCTCCTCCATCTGTCTTTTCTTATGGGATAATTTTTTGGCTAAAATACAAACTTTCTAAGGATATCCCCACATATGTTAAGATTAAGCATATTTCTTAAGTTTTTCCATATTAGAAAAGGATAATTGTACTACAGCTATGTGAGGAAGAAGCCCACTGGGTTTTTTCTTTAATGGTAAAAGACTGCTTGTTGAAGTGGTAATTAAATTCAGGACACTTAGTTTTATTTTTCTTTATATTTTCCTTTTCCCTTGAATGTCCTAATTTTGAAACTGAAAAGATACTGCTGAATATTTCAGTATCATTAAACCTTATTTCAGAATGTAAGTATATATAAATTTATGCAGTGGAGTCTTGACTTGTTCAGCACCTTCATTTACTTGTTTAGGACTGCAAATAAGTAACATAAGTAAAGTGCTTAGAGTTTGGTTTTGCCTGTTGATATTTCACAATAGTTTTGATCTTGGGATTTGGTTGGTTTTCTTTTACTTCAGCACTTTGCGCCAGCGAGCAGACCCTGTTTACAGTCCACCTCTTCAAGTTTCAGGACTTTGTTGGAGGTTAAAAGTTTACCCAGTAAGTTTTTCATATTTCTAATGAATTTTGAAACCAGAGTCTTTCTTTCAGTGTTCTGTAGCACAGTGGTTCACTTTTATGTTTAATTTGACAATTTCATTTACTTTATTAAGCAATTCATGAATCAGGCAGTATCCCATCTAACAGATAGAAAGATGCTCCCTGGTTCACTTTTCTTAGTGGAGTAAAGAGTTAAAGTAATGACAATATTACGGTTTTTTTATAGGGTAGATTACTAAGCATACCAAAAAAATGAGTTAAAATGAACAGTATAAACCTTGACATTACATGAATTTTATTTCTTATTTCTAGGAAGATATTTATCTTTAGACGAAATATTTAAAATTCTTATTTTAGATATCATTTTTTAAATAAAAATAAATTATTGATACAGAAAGCCATAAAAAAATACATGTATGCTGATTGCATACTCATGGTGCATTTCAGTGTGTTCCTTTGACCTAGGAATTTTCTGCAAATTGGCAGCTGGATGCAGTGACATGATGAGAGATATATAGTTGCTTCCTATGGCAACAGTATTAAGTAGTAGTGTGTTCTTTTATCACACCATGTCTAGTTGCATCTCTTATTGTGATATTGGCAGCTATCGATGTTCATTGCCTACATCTGTTAATTCATTGGAAGTTGTAAAATAGTGATATTCTCATTTTATTGTTTTTCATTTATTTGTAATAACTTTTATAAAGATACGCTTCTAAGAGATGCTTCCCGTTATCTGTTATTTGGCTACCCATGGTTATAGTTCATAAAGAAGAAACAATTTTTTCCTGTTATTTACTAGTTATCCTTAGTATTTTCTGGAAGTGATCAATTAGGTTTTTAAAAATGTCATTATGAATTCATGGATTTATACGTATGTAATGTCTTTAAGTTAGCTTCTGTGTCACTTTGCTCTGACTCTAAAAGTCCCTAGTAGTGATTCTTAGGAGTTAGCTTTCTTATTCTCATATTTATGGCAAGATGTTCTAGGCTCATTATGTACATTTCCTACTCCATATCTGGAGTCAGCCATTTTATTCAAAGAGTCCTGATTCCTTTTAGTGGGAAGTGATATTTCAAGACCAAACTGAGTGCTAGGGATGCTTATTTTTATGAGGTTGGTCACAGTTTCTAACCTCCTTGGTGAAGGGAGCTAGGAAATACAGTGATAAATATGTTAGATGTTTGGAAAGGGGGAAATCTGTATTTATTTATTTATTTAAAATTTATTAATAGACTTTATTTTTTAGAGCAGTTTTGAGTTAAACATCAAAATTGAGTAAAAAGTAAAGAGAGTTTCATATGCCCCCTGACCCCATACGTGTACATGCTCCTCCATTATCAACATATCTTGCCCCAGAGTGGTACATTTGTTACAGTTGATGAACTCCTATTGACACATTATTATCCAAAGTTCTAGTTTACATTAGAGTTCATTATTGATACACATTATAGGGGTTTTTTGTTGTTGTTATGTTGTTTTTAGGCCAAAGAATATAATTCGAGAAAACTGGGTAGGAGTATGGATAAAATTGAATTGGATAAGCTCCAGGGATCTCAGTAGACAAAATATATTTATGAACACTTTAAAATTGCTATATAATTAAATACTGGGTTTTTTTTTGATATATGTATTTTTTTAAAGATAAAATAACTCATGAGTCAGTGCTTACATTTATAATTCAAGTTCAAGACTGTGGAGTGTTTTTACTTAATCTCTTTATATTACACCTGTGTCTCCTTCCATTTTAGTAATCCCTTTTTTAAAAATTATTATGGGGGCGCCTGGGTGGCGCAGTCGGTTAAGCGTCCGACTTCAGCCAGGTCACGATCTCGCGGCCTGTGAGTTCGAGCCCCGCGTCAGGCTCTGGGCTGATGGCTCGGAGCCTGGAGCCTGTTTCCGATTCTGTGTCTCCCTCTCTCTCTGCCCCTCCCCCGTTCATGCTCTGTCTCTCTCTGTCCCAAAAATAAATAAAAAACGTTGAAAAAAAATTTTTTTTTAATTATTATGTATGTATATTTTTTTAAATTTACATCCAAGTTAGTGTATAGTGCAATAATGATTTCAGGAGTAGAATCCAGTGATTCATCCCCTACTTATAATACCCAGTGCTCATCCCAGGTGTCTTCCTTAATGGCCCTTGTACATTTAGCCCATCTCCCCACCCACAACCCCACCAAGCGCGCACAGTTTGTTCTCTGTATTTAAGAGTCTCTTATGTTTTGCTCCCCTCTCTGCTTTTATATTATTTTTGCTTCTCTTCCTTTATGTTCATCTGTTTTGTATCTTAAATTCCATGTATGAGTGAAGTCATATATTTGTCTTTCTCTAATTTTGCTTAGCATAATACACTCTAGTTCCATCCACGTTGTTGCAAATGGCAAGATTTCATTCTTTTTGATTGTTGAGTAATACTCCACTACACACACACACACACACACACACACACACACACACACCGCATCTTCTTTATCCATTCATCTGTCGATGGACATTTGGGCTCTTTCCATGCTTTGGCTATTGTCGATAGCACTGCTGTAAACATTGGGGTGCATGTGCTCCTTCAAAACAGCATACCTGAATCCTTTGTATAAATACCTAGAGGAATCCTACCTCTTGAAGCCTTTGGAAATTATATAACCAATCACTCATCTGCTTTATTTCATCTTATAGACAGAAATATTTCAGGATAGGAAGTCTTAATTCTACCATCAATTTGATTACAGAGAACTGCTTTTGTTTATATTTTTTTGTTTATACTCTATGTTTCCCACACCCCTTCCCCACTTGCTGCCATATTAAGTAGGAGTTTTGGTGTCCGAATCTTATTCTCTAGTAGATTCTACTGGAACAGCTAGTGGAAACAATATTCCCTGACTTTATATTTTGAAAAGTTTGTATTTATATACTCTAAAGCCAGTATTGCTGGATATAAAATCCATAGCTTGTATTTTCTATCATTGGGTATCTTAAATGTTTAATTCCATTTTCCATTAGGTAAAATCTGATTATAAACTAATTCTTAAAAGCATTCAGTGATATGGACTAAATGCCCAAATAATCTTTTTGTTTGTTTAAGTCCAGTAATTTACTATTATGTGTTTGGTTGTTTTGAGTCATTATATGCTGGTGTCTTTCAGTATGTAGGTTTAGATCTTTTTTGTTTTTCTTTTTTAATGTTTTTTATTTATTTTTGAGAGGCAGAGAGAGACAGAGCATGAGCAGGGGAGGGGCAGAGATAGAGGGATTCACAGAATCTGAAGCAGGCTCCGCTCCAGGCTCAGAGCTGTCAGCACAGAGCCCAGTGTGGGGCTTGAACCCACAAACCGAGAGATGATGACCTGAGTCAAAGTTGACACTTAACCAACTGAACCACCTAGGCGTCCCATCTTTTTTTCCCCCTAAGAAAATATTTCCTGAATTCTAGTTTTAAGTATTTATTATGTTTTTTTCTCTGTTTTTTTCTTGGGACTTGGTGTATTATCTGTATTTTGAGATTTCTTTTCCTGTCTTCAGTATTTATCACTTTCTACTCTTATGAGCTTTTCATTTCTTATTCATTCACTCATTCATTTTTTTCTATTTTTATTTATTTATTTTTAATTTATTTTTTTTAACATTTATTCATTTTTGAGAGACAGAGACAGAGCATGAGCGGGGAAGGGACAGAGAGAGGGAGACACAGAATCTGAAGCAGGCTCCAGGCTCTGAGCTGTCAGCACAGAGTCCGACATGGGGCTCGAACTCATGAACCGTGAGATCATGACCTGAGCTGAAGTCGGATGCTCAACCAACTGAGCCACCCAAGCGCCCCTCGTTCATTTATTGTAAAGTTTATTTATTTTGAGTGAGTGAGTGCATAATTGGGGGGGAAGGGTAGACAGAGGGAGAGATAGAATCCCAAGTAAGCCCTATGTTGTCAGCACAGAGCCTGACACAGGGCTCAAACTCATGAACCATGAGAACATGACTTGAGCCAAGATCAAGAATCAGATGCTTAACTGACTGAGCCACCCAGATGCTCCTCTTTTTCATTTAAAAAATTTTCCTTAGTTCACTTACAAGATCTGTTTTGTTTATTTGCTCTCATGTTCTTTTTAGTTCAGTGATTATTTCTTAAATAACTTTTTCTTTTATTTCTAATTCTTTCCTTAGTTTTATCACCTGATTTCTGAGTGTTTCTAATTCTGGTATGTTATTCTTTTATGTCCTATTCTTATTTGTTTATTTTTTTTTTCCTTCTGCAGGTTGTCATACTGTTTTCTTAGTGTCATGGATTGTTTTGAAATGGGTTACAATTTTGATCTATTCTTTGAGTATGTTTTTCAAGAATGTTTTCATTATAAGGATGTTATTCTCTTTTTTTACTTTGGCAAATAGTGCTTAACACTGAATTTGCCATCTTAATCATTTCTAGGTGTACATGTAGTATTGTTAAGTGTATACACGTGTTGTGCAGCAAATATCCAGAACTTTTTTTACATCTTTCAGAACTGAAGCTCTCTGCTCATTAAATGATAACTCCCCCTTTCTCCTCCCCCTCAGTTTGGTAACCACCATTAAACCTTTTGTTTCTGTGAATTTGACTGCTCTAGAGATATCATATATGTGGAATCATACAGTATTTGTCTTTTTGTGACTGGCTTCTTACATAATGTCCTCAAAGTTGATCCATTTTGTGGCTTGTGTCTGAATTCTCTTTTTAAGGCTGAGCAACATCCAGTGTGTATACCACACATCGTTTATACCACACATCGTTTATACCACACATTGTTTATCCATTCATCTGTTGATTGGCACTTGGGTTGCTTCTACCTCTTGGCTCTAGTGAATAGTGCTACTGTGAACATGGGTGTGCAAATATCTTCTCAAGATGTTGCTTTCAGTTCTTTCGGCTATGTACCTAGAAGTGGTATTGCTAAATCAAATGATAATTCTGTTTTTAATTTGTTGAGGAACCTCTACACTGTTTTCTGCAGGAACTACCCCATTTTATACTCTCAGTGATGCACAAGGGTTCCAATTTCTCCCTATCTTTGTCAGTACTTGTTTTCTGCTTTGATAGTAGCCATCCTGATGAGAATGAGGTAGTAGTTTGGTTTCAGTTTGCATTTCTTTAATGACTAGTAATATTGAGCATCTTATGCCTATTGACCATTTGTACATCCTGTTCAGAGAAATGTGTACTCAAGTCCTTTGCCCATTTGAAAATTTTGTTGTTGGTGTTGAGTTGTAGGAATTTATATATTCTGGATATTAACCCCTTATTAGGGGTTATGATTACACATATTTATTAGATGTATAATTTATACATATTATCTCCTATTCTGTAAGTTTCTTTTTATTCTTTTAGCATTTCATGTGCAGAAGTTTTAAATTTTGATGTGGTTAAATTTATGTTTTTGCTTTTGGTTTCACAGCCAGGAAATCTTTACCAAATTTAATGTCATAAAGCTTTTTTCTTATGTTTTATTTTAATAGTTTTATAGTTTTAGAATTTACGTTTACAACTTTAATCTATTTTGAGTTAATTTTTGTACATGAAGTAGGGACCCGATTTCATTTGTATGTGGATATCCAGTGTCATAAGGCAATCAAAAATAAATATGGTGCCTTGCTTTCTGAGAGATGTCCTGGCTCTGCCCTTCTCCTTCCTTTGTTTTTATTATTTCTCCACTGTTTATTTTTTATTTCACTCCTAGCACTTTCTATGTAATCTCGGGAGTTATCATGAAAGGCCCTATACATTCGTTTATAATAAGAATAAGAACTTATAAGTGTATAAAATTTAGAGTGACTTAACTGCATTTAATTCTCAGACTTGTTAATGTTAGGCATCCTTGTACTCAGTTCATAATCTGTTGAGCAGCTCATTCCATTTTCAGTTGTCTGTATTTGGCTTGTGAGGCTTTTCAGTGGCCAACTCTTTGCCATTTTGTGCTTTTTCCTGTTTTTTGTTTCATTAGATGTCCTACAGCTTCCCTCTCTTTTCTCCCATAAAGATGTATATATCATACAGGTCTTAATGGCTGTAACTGATATATCTTTATTTGCTTATATTTTTGGGGTTGTGGAGATAATCTTTTATCTAGTTTTGTTGTAAATATTGTTTGTGAGCTTTTGGATTTTCTGTCCAATTATGTGTTTTGTTTTGTTTTCTGTTTGGATTTAGAGAGTTGCATAAACTATGTTGCCATTGCTGCAATCTTTCCAGAATCCTGTGTTGAAAAATCTTAAAGCTAGTATTTTGTTGGAAGTGCAGCTGGCATGTACTTAAGATACTAAAACATTTTCCTTAAAATTATGATTAAAATTAAAAAGATTTCTAATATTGTTAGCTGATAAAGATCAGGAGTAAAAAATTCCTTTTTATTAAAAAAAATTTTTTAACATTTATTTATTATTGAGAGACAAAGAGACACAGAGCATGAGCAGGGGAGGGGTGGAGAGAGGGGAGACACAGAATCCGAAGTAGGCCCCAGGCTCTGAGCTATCAGCACAGAGCCTGACTTGGGCTTGAAGTCACGAACTGTGAGATCATGACCTGAGCCCAAGCCAGTTGCCTAACCATCTGAGCCACCCAGGCGCCCCTATTCCTTTTTATTAATTTATTCCAGGGAAATAGTTCTAGGAGCATAATTTAAAGATTTTTAAAAAAATGTTTATTTGTTCATTTTTGAGAGAAAGAGATACAGACCAAGCAGGGGAGGGTGAGAGAGAGAGAGAACGAGAACCCCAAGCAGGCTCCATACTGTCAGCACAGAGCCCTATGCAGGGCCCAAACTCACAAACTGTGAGATCATGACCTGAACCAAAACCAAGAGTCATGCTTCACTGACTGAGCCACCCAGCTGCCCCTCTTGGAGCATAATTTAAAAAAAGAAAAGAATCTGGCCATTTGAACAAGGATATTGATAGATTTTTTAAAATAAATATAATTTGAGATAAATTTATATTCAATAAAATTTACTAATTTTGGCAAGTTTCCACAAATATATATAGTCAAATAATTATTACCACACCGTGATTTTTATTAACCCCCCAGTTTTCTCATTTGTTTTTTAAGCTGATCCCTTCTTTCTTCCTTCCTGGCCCCTCTGCAACCACTGATGTGTTTTTTTCACTATAGTTTTACTTTGCATAATTTCATATAATGGGATCATACAATACATAATTTTTTGTATCTCATTTTTTTCACTTAACTGATAATTCATTTATTCTTTACTGTGTATTGAGCATTTACCTCCTTTTACCCTGAAAGTTTCCTCAGGATCTTTTGAAGCATAGTAGCCTAGAAATGAAGGGGTTAGTAAGTACTTGTACTCCTCCATAGTCATATCCCAGTAGACACTGGAGATGAATAATAAGAATCCTTCCTTCAATCCTCACAGTCTGGTTGGGAAAACATGTTTATATATGTAATTACAATAGTGATAGTCATTTATAAAGGTAGACACGTGAGCAAAATACTGGAGAAATAGAGAAGGAAGTTATTATCTTTGTAATAATCTCTGTAATACAAATTTAAACAACTTCTTAATCTTCAGACAGACTGCTATATGGAATGCTAACATATAAACATTATATAGAAATTATATTTAATTACTTTCAACATCAAGTGTTATCTTTTCCTGTTTTACTCACTTTTGGTTTTAAATATTTTTTGTCTCCTACCCAGTAAAGTTGAGGTTTTTTTCGTATTTGGTGTGTTCATTTTTCATGGAGGCTGATATTTAAGAGTTTTGTGTATGTTAGAACTCCTTCTTTTTGTATGTTAGAATTCTTAACTCTTTTTTAAAAACTTTTTTTAATGTTTTATTTATTTTTGAGGGAGAGAGACAGAGTGTGAGTTGGGGTTGGGGCAGAGAGAGAGGGAAACACAGAACCCGAAGCAGGCTACAGGCTCTGAGCTGTCAGCACAGAGCCCTACATGGGGCTTGAACTCATGAACGGCAAGATTGTGACCCGAGCTGAAATCGTTCACTTAACCAACTGCGCCACCCAGGTGCCCCTAGAATTCTTAACTTTTATCATAGTTGTTGACATTTTCCTTAGTTTGAATGCCTATATATTTTCCATTTTCTTTTTTAATGTACAAAAGATTTAAATTATTAGAGATGTAAATCTGTTGGTCTTTTTATCTGTGTTACTGCTTTAATCGTAGAAGTATTTCCCAATCCAAATATGAGATATTAATGTTTGCTTCGTTGTTGCTTAAATTTTTACACTTGAGTTATCTAGAGTTTGTATTTGTATAACATCTCTCTCTCTTTCTCTTTAATTATTGATGTATTGTTGACTCTTCTTCCTTTTTTTAAGGATGGAAATGGAGTCGTTCGTGGTTACTACCTATCTGTGTTTCTGGAACTGTCAGCTGGCTTGCCTGAAACTTCCAAGTAAGACATGCAATTAAATAACAAACTTTATTATTTTTTTTTCAACGTTTTTATTTATTTTTGGGACAGAGAGAGACAGAGCATGAACAGGGGAGGGGCAGAGAGAGAGGGAGATACAGAATCGGAAACAGGCTCCAGGCTCCGAGCCATCAGCCCAGGGCCTGACGCGGGGCTCGAACTCCCGGACCGCGAGATCGTGACCTGGCTGAAGTCGGACACTTAACCGACTTCGCCACCCAGGCGTCCCAAATAACAAACTTTAATGTGTGTTTATATGCATTCCTCTTAGGATTTTTTAACTTTTGTTAGTTACTGTATTGTTGTATCTGTTAAGATGTGTACTAGTATGGAATCCCTGGCATAGTATAGCACACACTGGCAGTTCTTTCTTTTTTTTTTTAATGTTTATTTATTTTTGAGAGTGAGGGAGAGCACACATGAAGGGGGAGGGGCAGAGAGAGGTGGACAGAGGATCTGAAGTGGGCTCTGCACTGACAGCAGTGGGGCTCATACTCATCAACTGTGGGATCACAAACTGGCAGTTCTAAAACTGCCTCAGGAATACTCCTCTTTTTTTTTTAACCCAATTTTTTTTAATTAAAAAAATTTCTAAATTTCTTTTTTGAGGGAGAGAGAGAGAAAAGTGGGGTCATCCTAAGCAGAGCTCATGTTTGTTTTTTACGTTGAAGCGGGGCTTGAGCTCACCCAGTGTGGGTCTTAAACTCACAAACCTTGAGATCATGACCTGAGCCAAAGTCAGATGCTTAATGACAACCACCCAGGCACCTGGACTCTTTATACTCTTAAATTTTATTGAAAACCCCAAAGAGGTTTTTTGGCTTTTGGTTTTTGTTCTTAATTTTTTTAAATTCAGTGTACGTTGGAAGGCCAGGTGTTCTTTTTTCTGTTTTGTGCTTGAGAGAGAGAGAGGATCCCAGGCAGGCTCTGTGTTGTGCAGGGCCTGACCTGGGGCTTGAACTCATGAACCAGGAGATCATGACGCGAGCCAAAATCAACTGGAAGCTTAACTGACTGAGCCACCCACATGGCCCAAGAGTTTTTTGTTTGTTTGTTTGTTTGTTTGTTTTTGAATATGGGTTATATCTGTTATTTTCTGAGTTAGAAATTAAAACTGAGAAAACCTTAAAAAAATGTTATAAGTTCGCTTTAAAATAATAATAAACCTATTGTATACTAACATAAATAATATTCTTGTGAAAGATAACTGTTTTTCTAAAGCAAAATAATATTTGGTGAGAAAACTTGTACTATTTTGCATTTTTTGAAATGTCTTAATGTATAGCTTTAAAAAAGACAAATGGATCCTCACATTGGCTTCTATATTCACTTTGTTGCAATAAGTTCTTTGGTTGAAGTATATGTTTAAAATCTGGTCTCAGATTTTGAATATCATGCGTAGTTGGGAAAAGTCGTTTTTTTTTGTTTTGTTTTGTTTTTGATGAGATACAAACAATTCATATACCATAAAATTGACCTTATAAATAAGTGTACAGTTCAGTAGATTTTAGTATATTCAGTGAGTGCTGTAACTATCACTGATAACTAATTTCAGAACTTTTATATTACCCCGTGAAAAAACCCATTAGCAGTAACTTCCCTTCCCCCTTCTCCCCATTTCTTGGGAACCACTAATCTACTTTTTTTAAGGAGGAATATTTAGAAAAGCAGTTTTAGATAATTGTGAATTTTGGTATTACACCAAAGTTGAACAAGTTGTAGTTTGTTGAATGCAGTTTGTAATGGGGAATCTAGAACCATATCAGTGAATTTTATTTTACTCTACTGCAGTAAAATTTGTTGATGTGGTATGAGATGTCTGTTTCTAGCTATGATGGTGTAATAAGGAGATAACCCTTTCTCCTACAAAAATCAATAAAAAGAAAGAAAGAAAAACAACACTTTCTGGACATGAGGCAACAAATGAAAGCAATCCTTTAGAAATAAGAAACAGATAAGCTGTATGATTGCCTCACCTTATATAGCCTTGAGAGAGTTTTCAGTCTGTAACATAGGGAGGAGGAGCTGAGCTAGAGTCTGGCAGACTCTTTGTGTTTGAGTGTCCAGGAAGACCAGTTTAGCTAGAATGTGTTGGACAGAATTCCAGAGAGGGGGAGCTCCACAGAGAACTCTGGAGATCTGTAGAGGGTTCCCTTAAATTTAGTGTTCTGCAGAGTACTGATCAGGGCACATGTATGAGGAAACTATCTGAGGTCGGGAAAGAACCATCTGAAAGATTAGAGGGAGTGGTGCCTGGTGCCATAAGAGGTAGTAATGTGTCTGTTCTTACAACTGTAGTGGAGAAGCTTGTAATTCATGGGCACTAAATACAATAGTCAGGAAATTGTTGCTTCAGTAATGGAGAACTGTTAGTACTAGACTGAACACTGCTCCCAACCCACCTAACAAAGAAAAAGCAAGGCCTGAAAGATCTTGTAACTAAATTGTGTCCCAGAACAAAGTTCAAGAAAATTTATAGGATCACAAAATGTCTAGCACCTGAAAAAGTCAAATTTACAATATCTGATGTTCAATCAAAGATTAATTGACATGTAAGGAGGCAGGAAAACATCAAAAATGAGGAGAGTAATCAGTCAAAATTGAGCAAGAACTGTTTTTTTTTTAAGGATGATTTTAGGCTGATTATTTTTTTAAAGTTTATTTTTTTATTTTGAGAGAGACAGAGACAGCGTGAGGGGAGGGGCAGAGAGAGAGGGAGAGAGAGAGAGGGAGAGAGAGAGAGAGAGAGAGAGAGACACTGAGAATCCCAAGCAGGCTTCAAGCTGCCTGCACAGAGCCTGACACCAGGCTCAAACTGGAGAAACTGAGATCATGACCTGAGCCAAAACCAGGAGTCAGATGCTTAACCCACTGAGCCACCCAGGCGCTCTAAACGATTTTTCTTTATGTAGATTACTTTTGTTGATGTTTTCAGAATTAGAAATTAAAAGAAATTGATCTTTTATTCACTAAAAATAATTAAACCTATTGCATATTAAGTAATATTTTTCTTAAAATTTTTTTTAAATGTTTATTCATTTTGACAGAGAGAGCATAAGTGTATGTGTGCAAGCGGGGGAAGGGCAAAGAGAGATGGGGAGAAGAATCCCAAGAAGAGTCCAAGCAGGGCTTGATCTCTGGAACCATGAGATCATGACCTGAGCCAAAATCAAGAGTCAGACGATTAACCAACTGAGCCACCCAGGTGTTCCTCTACTTTTCTCTTAAAGTAACACTCATCATTATATTTAGGGTCTACATGGATTATCCAGGATAGTTCCCTCATCTGAAGATCTTTAGCTTAATCCCAGCTGTATACTCTCCTTTTTTGCTTGAAAAGTTAACAATCACACATTCCAGGGATTAAGATGTGGATATCTTGGGGTAGGGGGTAATATTCAGCCCACCACAGCCATAAACTATAAAGCCACTATTAAAATGACAAAGACATATTGCTAATAAAGCAACAAAGGGGATAAAATGGATTTACAAACGAATACTTAAAGAAGGCAGAAAGAATTAATGGGTAACAAAAGAACAGATGGGATGAATACCCAAATGTATTCGTGTAAATTGTCTCACTACCCAGTTAAAAGGTAGAGATTGTTGGGGCGCCTGGGTGGTTCAGTCGGTTAAGCGGCCGACTTCAGCTCAGGTCACGATCTCGCGGTCCGTGAGTTCGAGCCCCGCGTCAGGCTCTGGGCTGATGGCTCAGAGCCTGGAGCCTGCTTCCGATTCTGTGTCTCCCTCTCTCTCTGCCCCTCTCCTGTTCATGCTCTGTCTTTCTCTGTCTCAAAAATAAATAAAACGTTAAAAAAAATTAAAAAAAAAAAAAAAAAAGGTAGAGATTGTCAATCAGCCTCCCCTGATTGACATTTATAGACTGATCAGACAGTAGCAGAAGTGCCCAGATTGTTTACCAAGAGAGGCCATATTCTGGGATATAAAACATATCTCAATAAATTCAAAAGGATTCAACTCATTCAAAGTATGTTCTCTTGCCATCATGGAATTAATTTAGATATTAACATACTGTATTTTGGAAATCTGAAATATTTGGAACTTAACACATTTCTAAATAACTCTGGATCAAAGAGGAAATCATAAGGGATTTTTTAAAAGTATTTTGAACAACAAAAAATATTTTGAACCAGGGGCGCCTGGGTGGCGCAGTCGGTTAAGCGTCCGACTTCAGCCAGGTCACGATCTTGCTGTCCGGGAGTTCGAGCCCCGCGTCGGGCTCTGGGCTGATGGCTCAGAGCCTGGAGCCTGTTTCTGATTCTGTGTCTCCCTCTCTCTCTGCCCCTGCCCCGTTCATGCTCTGTCTCTGTCTGTCCCAGAAATGAATAAACGTTGAAAAAAAATATATATATTTTGAACCAAATGAAAATGAAAGCATATTAGGATTTGTAGTGTGCTGCTAAAGTAGTAAGTAGAGGGAAATTTATAGCAATAAATGCCTATATACAGTTGATCTTTGAACAATATAGGTTTGAACAGTTCAAGGTTTGAACTGCAGGTTCATTTATACACAGATTTTTTTTCAATAAATACAGTAAGTACAGTATTGTAATTGTATTTTCCTTACCTTTTTCTTAACATATTTTTTAGCTAACTTTGTTGTGAGAATATAGTATATAATACAAATAGCGTACAGAATACACTTAATCAACTGTTTATGTTATTGGTAAGGCCTCTGGTCAACGGTGGTCTATTAAATTTTGGGGGAGTCAGAAGTCATACATTTTTGACTGTGTGGGGATCAGGGCCCCTAACCCCCCGCATTGTTGAAGGATTAGTTGGTAAGTGAAAAGCAGAAAGGTTGCGAGTCAGTGATCTCAACATCTACTTTAAAAAAACTAGAGAAAAGAAAAACAAGTTAAATGGGAGGTAAGCTGAAGAAAGGAAATTACAATAAAGATCAGAGCAGAATGCAATGAAATAAAAATTGAAAAAGCAATAGAGAAAATCATTGAGATGAA